TGGTCACTATAATTCTAGAGGTCCCCTCCAGCCCCTGCCATGGTGTATTTCCCCCCTATTTCTGAGGGGTGTCAGGGGAAGGCAGGCAGGAGGCTCCAGCACTTGGGGACCAAGTGCTGACTCTGGGACTGGGGGGGACACAGCGTCAGGCCCAGCACCCCCACTCTGGGAATCAGCATGTCTACTGGGAGTTCAGAAACGAAGGACAGAAGTTCAATAGACACTTCTGGGCCTCCTTTTGACCCCATGACACCCGCCCCCTCAAGTCTACCTTTTAAGCCAACCATCTCCCAATGACAAAGAACAGAAAAGAAGGGAGAGACCAGAAAAAGACAGAGGGAGGAGAGACAAGACCTACACCCTTTGGAAAATTAATGGCATTACTGTACTTCATTTCCAAAGCACTAAAGTAGGTGAGGAGACTCCCAACTGCAGAAGCAGCCTGCAGCCAGCTGCAGCAGCTGCCTTCACCTCCCTGAGCACCCTTCCCACCGGGTGGCCTGCTATGCTGGGACCATGAGGTGTAAAGGCAGAAGCTGAGTTGCCCTGGACCTGCCTGGCTCCAAGCTGGTCAGAGTCAGCAGGGATATAGAAAACTGGGCCATGCAGAGCTGGCAACCAGCTCAACACCACCATCCTAGACGGATGCTGAGCCTTACACACGGCTGTCAGCTCGGCGGTGCTCCAGGTCCCTCGGCGCCCTGGCTGGAAGGAGGGCTTCTCCCAGCAGATCATCTCCCTGACAAGCAACGGGAGAAGGAGGCTATGAGAGGGTCAGAGGAAGTTCCCTCGCTTCAAATCTTTCCTGTTTCCTTTTGCCCCTGCTTTCACCACCTCGGGACTCGCATGGTCTACGAGTGGTGTGCCTAATCTGGTTGGAATTTCCTCCTCCACCCACCTGGCATTCTCCCCACAGACTTGAGAGTTCCCGACGAGGGGTTCTTACATCCACCCCAAGCACTAGGCTAGGTGAGCACACCACTGGCCACTCTGGAGCACCAGGAGGAGGCACGTGGGAGACCTGCAGCAAAGCCCTAGTTGGGAGGGAACAAGTCATTGCTATCACAAGGCAAAAACCCTACAGGGCTGGGGTTCCCTCTGTGGCCCCACTGCCAGGGCTCCAACTGCAGAAGCAGCCTGCAGCCACAGGCCCCAGCAGCCTGGCCCTTAACAGGTTGGGAGCACTCATCCCATATGGGAAGGAGGAAGACAACACAGCAAGGAGAAACAAAGTTGCCAAAGGTCTTGCAAATCCCCATTTAATAACCACAGGCTGTTGACCACTAGAGCTTGATATTAGTGACCATCAGGTTCTGCGTTCTTCATTCTTTTTTGGCCATAACCTTGATCCGCAGCCAGCGTGCGCTGTACACAGCCACCCCGGGAACATGCAGACACACAGAACCCAAACAGAAATCCATGAAGCAACACTTCTTATTTGCATGCCATGCATGCTTATAATCTGTGCTCTCCCCAATCTTTTTTAAAATACTGGTCCCACTAATGGGTCATAACCCATACTTTGAAAAGCAGAGATTTGGATGGAACCTCACAGGCAAGGATATTTAATATGTAACTGTAAGCATCAGTGAGCTGTCTTTCTGCACTTATGATAACAGAATCTGGCAGCTGGCCAGGCTCAGTGCGCAAAGTGACCAACACTAGGGTCCACGAGCCACACAGCTGGAACTGAAAAGCTGGAAAAAAGCAGGCCTACCCAAGACTCTTAATTAACCTTACAAGATCAAAGTTTAAAAAATTAAGTTTTTTTTTCTTCCAAGATACGATTTACGTTGACTTCGCTTCAGTTGCAATAATTATTGGGAATTTCAAGTAACATGGAGGAGGTTGACAGGTGTTCTGTAGTCACAGAACAGGGCACAGGTTAAAAAGGGGGAGGGAGACACCGAAGTGGTCCACAGTGCCTATTTTGGGAGTGATAAAACAAGGCAAAGAACAGAGCCCAAGGGAGGAAGTATGTGAGGAAAAGGGTCTGAAACCCCTCCAGGACTCCTGCCTCAGTTACACAGGACCCCCATCATCCAGCGTACTTGAGAAGAACACACTGAGGTCTCCCCAAGTAAAGCCTGTCCATGACAACGCAGGGCTGATATCTCATGCTGGGCACAGACAACTGTGCTGATCTTGGCAGACCTTGTCACTGGGCTACAGCCTCCCCGCTGGGATCATGCAACAGGGCTTAACTCTCTCTGTGCCTTTGTCTCGGCTGAAAAATGAAAGGAATCATCCTTGCTACCCCTTCCAAAAAAGTTGTAACAGTAAATGAGAAGTGCTGTAAAAACAAGCCCCGGTACAGAAAAAGCGTGGAAAACCTACAGGTCATTATTCAAAGTCACATTTAGAGTCCCAGAACCTACACGCTCTCACCGACTAGCTGACCCCAAGCCTTCATTTTCCAGTCCATTCTAAGGCAGGCGGCTTGTCGAGGATGGCCCCACCATCTCCTCGTGCCACATGTGTTAACTGCCCGGAGGTGAAACTGGCTACGAAAGGGAATACTAAGTACACAGTGACGCCTGGTTCAAAACATACCAGCACCAGGCAGGAGGAGGGGCAGGGAGGAAACTAAACACACACAGATCACATAATTTAAAGATGTGAGATGAATGCCTCTTTACAGTGTCAAGGGCAGCTCAAAAGGCATGACTAATGATTTCTAAAGAGAAGCCAGAATGATGTTCTGAACTAAACTCTCAGCAAAGAGGCCAAGGGCCTCAGAAGTGGTATCGTTCTTGACGGGACATTCATTTCCCTAACCCAGTGGGCTGAGTGCCCGCTCAAATGACATCTCCCCCTGCCTAACTTTCCCCACACTCTGTGGGACACTTGAGACAACAACTTCAAAAAACAAGGAATTTTACTACACGTGAGGGATTCTTTCCTATATAAATATCACCTGGTTTCTGTCCAGGGTCTTCCCGGGAGGAGCTTTGAAAACCTAAGAGACTCGATATCCCTAGAGGCCTTCAGAACTGTGGATGGTAAGGACCATTCTTCTGAAACCCCAAGCGGATGGTGGCAGAACAGAAGGGGTGATGGCCAGGCCCAGCAGCGCAATTAAGGACTTCACCTTAATGAGAACCAGGTCCTCTCCCACAGGACCTGTGGCTGTCCAGCCACTGACCACCAGCTCTGCAGAGCTGCCCAGGGCTGGGAAAACAAGAAGTCCCACATTCTGGCCTTTACTGGGCATGTGGGGCCAGCATCAGCAATAAGATACAGCAGCTGGTGGGAGGCTCTGTGGCCCCCCAAGATAACTTCCCCAAACCTACCAAAGCACACTGGGGCTGGAGTCAAGAGAATACAATGTGGCATGTGAGCAGGCTGTTCAGTTCACCTGCCCAAGCTGCAGCTTCTTCATCTGGTAACCCCAGGGCTGCCTGTGGCTGGAGTCAGCCTACAAAGTGCAGCGTGTGATATTAGCATCACTTCCCTGCACCACTCTATCCCCTGGTAATTCCATGACATGAACAGGCCTACAGTTCTCAGTCCAGAAGGCTAAGAGAGAGCTGCCTGGCTAAAGTTGCCTCCCTACATAAAAGCATTTAAAACTACCCGGGAAGTGTCAGGCAAGCTGAGCGCCTGTTACACAACCCAGGAAAAGGTGGCAGAGCACAGGCTCTGCCGCCTGCCCATCTCCCGCAACAGAAACCTCCGGAGAGTGGCCCTGCAAGACTCCCTGCCCCTCAGCGGCCGAATTTGAGGGGAAGAGGTGCAAAACCCTGAGAAGAGAAGACAACACAGGGCTTCGCTGAACCCGTACCCCCAACAGAGCTGCCACAACCAGCAGAAATACTGTTGTTCCCATGCCCGCCCACCCAAAAAAAACCCCGGGTGCAGAAAACACACACACGCTCGCGCAGGGCGCCGGGCCGCGCGGGGCCCCGCTTCTCCGCCCCAGCTTGGTTACCAGCCCGCGGCGGCGCCGAGCTCCCCAGACAGCCCGCACGTGGGGGCAGCCCAGGCCACCCACACCGGCCCGTGGCCGCCCCGTCGCGGTTTGGATACCGCGGCCGCAGCGGCAGCTGCCACAAGCCGAGCCCCAAAACCACGGATCGCGCGGGCAGACGTGGTCCGACTGCCTGAAGCTGCGCCGACCGCCTCCCTCGGGGCCCCGCCGCCCGGCCACGGCTGGTGGCACTCGCCACTCCTCCCCGATCGCAGCGCCGCCAGGAGCCAGCCCTGCGAGGCGGCGGGAACCGCGGTGCCGGGCGCCGACAGCGGCACCCGGGCGGGTTTGGGGCACCCGCGGCGCCCCGGCGAGCGGCGGAAGGAGCTGCGCAGCGCACTCGCGGCGCCCAGGCTGCGCGCGCCCAGCCCCGGGGAGACCCCGCGCGCCGCAGCCCACGCGCGCCGCGGCCCGGGAGCGCGTGGCCCCGAGCGCTGCCCCACGCTGCCGCGGAGCGGGCTGCAGACGCGCGCGAGCGCGCCCCCCTCTCGGCTCGCCCGGTGCCTAACTTCGGGCTCCACGCGCCTCACCTTCACCGAGTCTACTGGGTACATGACCGAGTGCTCCAAGATCCCGGCCATCGCTCCGGCTGTCATGTGGGTGGATAAGGAGGCGCTGGGCGGCAGGTTCTCGTAGTCCTCCGACCCGGCGTCCTTGCAGCCACCGGCGCCATCTCGGCTGTCCCCATCCATCCTGCGCCCCACGGCCTGGCTCCCTACGCCGGCGCGGCGGAGCTCCATCCGCCAGCTCCGCGGGGCGCGGGAGGCTGCAGGAGGTGGGCAGGGAGGGGGAGGGGGCGAAAAACTTCACTTCTTAAAGTGGGACCCACCTCCCTGGTGCTGCGGCGCCTGACGCCATGGCGGGCTGGGGTGGAGCGGAGGGGCCCGAGACACCAATCACGGGAAGAGAAGGGGCTGGCGGCGGCTGCGCCATTGGTGTTTGGGACAGTAGGGACCCGCCTCCCTATGTGACGTCGTGTCCAGTGTAAATTTCCAAGCAGCCGGACGGGGGCGAGAGGTGTCCCGGGAAGTTGTACTACCTGGAGGGTGGTGCTGCCCGGCTGGGACAGGCTAGGGACTGGTCAGTGGGGAGGGTCGGCCAGGCCGCAGGAGGGATGTGCTTTGGGCAGGAGGGAGGTCAGGAAGAGTGGTTCAGGGGGAACCCCTCCCCAGAGCCCGGGTTTTGCAAACAGTATTGGTTGCTCTGTAAGCTTTGGCATTCCTAAGGCCTGAACTGGGAAAGTGTCATTTATGGAGAGGTTATGGTGGCTAGATTCGGATGGAAGGCGTATATGGGAATACAGTGGAGTTCTAGAATTGGGGACACCAGTGGTGAACCTCCTTTTGTGTAACAGAAAGGCAAAGTCCTATTCTTGGCTACTTTATTGGAGAGAATACCCATTTGTTTGAATTTTTTGTCTCGTTGAAAATACATAGTTAAATTTCTCCCTCTTTTGATTCTCAGGGCCTACATCTATCTTGCCCTGGACTGACCAAGAAAATAAGTAACCAGGATGGAGTCCTTCTGTGTAGACACCTCCAGGACATTTTCCCTGGGCTTAATATGTCTGAGAGGTCTTCAGAGGGCTGTGGCCTCACAGTGCAAAATGGCCGAGGGGTAGTCTTGCAGCAATTCATCTGCCTGTTTAAGACTCTTGTCTCCTTCTTAAAATCATCCCAAGCTGGCACCTTACAGTGCAACCCAGACTGCTCTATTTTAATCTAAAATTGTCTTGCTAATCTGGAGGGAAAGTGAGGAATCCAAAAGTAGAGGAGGGCCTCAGGGCTATCACTGCTATGGCTTGAGGCCTATCCCCAGCCAGAGAGCTGACCCAATGGCATAGCAGACCTCTCCTGTCTCACCCGCTGCTCCCCTCAGCAGTGTATTTCAGTCGCTCTGCCTGTTCTGCTGCCCACTCTGTCTCTGGTGAATCCTCTCACTCCCCACCCCACTACTATACTATACACTCCAGTTCTTCTATGTAAGTATACTATACTTACTGCATAAGTATATTATACATATAAATATATTATACTTTCTATATATACTATATTATACACCCCAGTTATTCTATATAAATAATAATACAAAAAGTAAAGGAAGTCCTTATGTTTTTGCAAGTCTCCATGACAGCATGGCACCTGCACATTGGAGTGTGTATGTTCCAGGGCTTAAGGCTTGGCTCTAGCTGATCAGCTACTACCACACCAGACACCTTATCCAGCAAAGGCTTTGGTCAGCTGGGCCTTGAGATATGAAAGGGTGGAACCCTCAAGATGCAGCACCTACTCTCTGTACTCAGCCTGGTCCCAACGCTCAGGTCACAACAACCAGACAGCTCCCAGGGATACAGGATCTGAGCATTGTCAACAGAGGCTTCAAGCCCACAGACATCATGTCCCACTTTCGTAGCTGCCAATTGTAGCTCCCAAGATTAGTGCAAGCTCTGTGTTTAGTGATTGCGAGAAAAAAAAGTTTCACTTTTTTTGCCAGTGGTGATTTTTTTTAATTAGTTTATTTACACAAGCACTGAGTACAGTCAGAAGCACGAGAGGGTGAGAGAATTCACCAGAGCCACAGCAGAGAGCAGAACAGGCAGACTGACGAAGTACATTGCTGAGGGGAGCAGCAGGTGGCAGGAACGCTCTGCACACCATGTGGGACCCTCACCGGTGGCTGGGGATCGAACTGGCGCTGCAGAGGCTGCGGGCAGCTTTGCAGCCCAGCGCTCAACCACTGCACCACCAGGGGAGGCCCACCAGTGGTGATTTTTAAGAACCATTTGATCAAAAGCAGTTGAAACTCATTTAGAAATGGAATACCCTTTAGCCAGTACATATTAACTCATTCTCCCACTTTTGGGAATGTGACACAAAGCCTGCATATGTACAAAGCTCTTCCTCAAAGCATTATTTATAGTAATTAGTAGTTGTAAACAACCTAAATGTTCAACTAGAGGAATGACTAAGTAAATTATGACATATGTATTCATGAAATATTATGGGCTATTAAATACTATGACTGTATTATATAACAGCATAGGAAGTTATTATGATGTAAAAGTAGGTGAAAAATAAAAATTCTGTCCACGTTAAAAAGATGTAAACATGCACATGGAAAGAATGACGTGGTTATTGTGATGGGGACGTAGGATTACAGGTAATGAGTTTTACTCTATTTTCAGGCTTAAATAATACTTATTTCTACAATTTAAAAAATGAATCTTTCTTTCAGGATATAATCTACTGTGTGGGAAACCTGAACTTTGCAATGGTGATATTGGTGGAAAGAAGTTACCTTTTGGTCAGTTAATGTAAACAATTCTAAACATAACTTCAGAAACATAAGATTTATTTTAATTTCATTGATGTAAAGCCACAACCATTTACAAAATCTTTAGAATGTTTATCATCTGGATTCAATATTTTTTTTCTCCCTACCCATGGAGAATAATGGCAATTTGGAACTCAGCACCCATCCTAACCTTAAAACTTAAAACCATGTTCTAGAGACTTCCTTGGAGCTGGGAGTCAAGATATGAGTTATATTCTGCAGAGAAGATGAACTGGAGAGATCTGGAAGGTAGACCGGAGAAAGAGAGGTCATTTGCTGCTTTGATGTTGCTGCTGCCCTGCAAGGTCATAGTCACTTGCGTTAGGAGCAGTGGGGGAGGGCAGTATTGCAACTGCGACAGCATTGCAGGGTCCGTTCCCCAGGTTCATGGGTATTGAGAGGAGCTGGGCAGTGGGGATGGCAGCAGGGATGGTGGCAACCTTTGATGCCTGCACCATAGCTTCAGGGTCTTTCCTTAGTGGAGGATGTGGCGGAGCTTCCCTTTGGAAGCCAGTTTGGTGATATGGATCTGAGAGTTACTCCTGGAAGTCCAACCTAAGGGTGACTCCTCTAGCCCTTCCAACAATATTGTGTCTGGCAGCAAATGGACGTAATGATGAAGAAGCCTTTCCTGGATCTTAGAACACAGTGGCCAGCTCTGGTCCTCGACCTCTCCGGAAGGCCTGCTTAGAGACTGGTGATATCCCAGACACCATAACCTGGTGCCTTGACCACAGTGTCAAACCAGGAGGGAGCAGCATGAGGGCCCTGAAGCAGAAGTATGATTCTCTCCTGCTGGGTGAGAGGCTCACAATGATTGCTGGTGCCACCAGGTCTTACGTAAAGTTCCTGAATGTTAAAGTTTTGAAGATGGCCTCACAATGCCCTAACCCAACCGGGAGCTGAGCTCCACTCAGAAAAGGGAAGCGACAGAGCTGCAGGGTGAAGAGCACTTGTCTTGGAATCATGGACCTTTTGAATTCATGGTTCCACCACTGACCAGCTAAGTCAACAGACTCAACCTTATCTGTTGACCATGAACACTGATACTTATCACCTGGTTAAAGAAATACAGAAGAAAAAAATAGAATTAAGGCTCATGGTGAAATGTATATAATTTTGGAGGTGTTTAGTGCAGAGTATAAAGGGTAGAGGTTCAGCCTTTCTCCAAAAATCTACTTTTTCCCCCCCACAATAGCCCTAGCCCTGACATGGCCTGCCCACCCATGCAACACAGAGATGCCTAACCCTACCCTGGATTTAGCCAATGCTGTGTCTCCTGCTGGACCCCAGCACACTACCTGAGCCACTGAACAGGCACAGCTAGTGTGCGTCTCCCAGACCCTGCATGGTGTGGTGCCGGCATGGGGTGTGGCGGGAATAGGGAGAAGGTGCTTTCTGTTTTTGTTTTGTATAGTGTATGCTCATCTGCAGCCCCATTCATTTTAAGTCAAGCTTATACGTAGGGAGGGTCGGGAAGGTCTCTGGACATGTGGGGTTCTTCCCTCTATATGTATCTGGCCCCATAATCCCATAGTCCCTTGTTTTCCTAAATACAGCACTATTTCCTAAAAACTCTACCTGTGATTAATACTGAGGGTGTCCCCATGAGACAGAAGAAGACATGGAGACGAAAAGCTAGCCTCACTCTGGAAACCCACGTCAAATAAAGTACAGGTGGGAGAGGCCATCATGCACAAAACTGAGCATCCTCACTTCACCAGGCTCTCTTTTACAAAGGCTGAGAAGGATAAGGGTCAGAGCTGGGGCTTAATCAGCAGTGGGAGTGAGGAATGCTAATGGCCCGGAGCCTGTTTCCAGGGCTCACCCGCTACAGCCTCTCCTGCTTGAATCCACGGAGGCTGTCACTCATGGGGAGGCTGGGCCTGCACTGCTGTGAGACAGCCCCCTGACTCCTGTTCTGCACCATCTCCTTCCATTGCCCCCTGCATTTCTACTGACAAGACCCAAAGGTGCCTGTGGACCCCTCACCACCTGGGGCCATGCTGTCTCTGCACGGCTTTCAGGCCCACGCTTGCTCCGGATCCTGTGTCCAGGAGGGTGACTCAGGGCCCCAGAGGTGGGCAGAGTGGGTAGCAGAGGAGAGCAGAGACTCATGGAGACAAGGCAGTGGCTAGATCCTGAGCCTTGGCTGCATGTTTGCCTGCAAGGACCACCTACTTCAGTACCCCACACCTGTCATTTCCCCCCTTCCTCAGCTATTTCTGTAAATACACTCAATGTCTTCATGGCCTAAGAAAATCCCTCATCCCTGTTCCACACCTATTGCTCCCCTCCAAGCTGAGGTCCCTGAAAGAACAAGTTTCCGCTGCCCTCTCCTGAGTCAGGATGCGCTTACTCCTGGCTTCTAAGCCCTGCACGTTTCTAAAGGAGCTCTTGAAAAGGTCACCAATGACCTCAGTCCCCAATCAGCCCGCCCCTCTGCGTGAAGCTCTTGACCTCTGCCTCCTCCGGAATTCCTCTCACTTCTCCCTTCCTGCCCTTCCCACAGCGCCCTTTGCCTCCTCCTCTCCACGGCCTGCCCTCAGCTCTTCCTTCTCTTCCCTTTTTTCCTTTCTTCTCTTCCCATGTCCTGTGAGCAGCCCTGGCTCAGGTTTAAACCCTGAACCCTCCCCTGCACTCCAGGCCCACATTCCATGTGCCTCTCTGATTGCATCACCTAAATATTCCACTTGAATCTAGAACTCAGAGTACCGCTGTCCCGGGTATGCCGAGACAAGTACACCTACTGGGTGACTTCAAAGAAAAACAAAAATGTAACAGCTAAAGCGCCAAAGTGTGAGCCAAGGCTCCCTCCAAGGGAGGATCCTCCCTGTCTCTCCTAGTGTCTGTTGCCTCTGGGTAATCCTTGGTGTCCTTGGCTTGTAGGTACATCGCTGTACTCTCTGCTCTGTCTGCACATGAGCTTCTCCCTGCGAGTCTGTGTCAGTGTCCAAATTTCCCTTTTCACATAAGGACACCTGTCACATTGGGTTAAAGACCCAGCAAATGCATATATAACTTCACCTTAACTTGATTATATCAGCAAGGATCCTACTTCCCAATCAGGTCCCATTTGTAGGATCTGAGCAATGTGGGAGACTCTGTTCAACTCATCCAGTGAGCTGGAAAGGCAAGAGCACCAACTAGGGGCCAGGAGGCCAGGCTTCCAGTCCTGACTAATTTTTAAAATTTATTTATATATATATTTTATCTTTGTTAATTTTTATTTTTTTAGGTATATCACATTATTATTATTACAACATTGTTCACTCTTAAACAATGTTTGCTTCCCCCCACCCCCTCAGGTGTAGTCCCCATAGAGTTTCCTTCCCCAATGCACCCGTGCACCATCACCTCAGTCCCCTGTGCTCTTCCCTCCCTCCCTCTGATACCTCTCCCTCCTCCGCCCCTGCAGGATGTCTCTGATTTATAATTGTCTGTTTTTATTTTGTTGCATTTTGCATTATTATTTTTTTTTTACACTGATGTCTTATTTGGTTCCCCTATATTCCTGCTGAAGTGAAACCATCCAATATTTTTCCTTCTGACTTATTTCACTGAGCATAATTCCTTCTAGTTCTATCCACGTTGCTGCGAATGGCATGAGATTGTTCATTTTTAAACAATGTTTGCTTTTCCTTTCTCAGGTAGTCCCCGTAGAATTTCCACCACCAAGGCACCTGTGCTCCATCACCTCAGTCCCCTGTGCTCCTCCCTCCCTTGCTCCTCCTCCTCCCTCCCCTGCATGACGTCCCTGGTTTATAGTTGTCTGTTTATTTTTGTTTTGTTGTGTTTTGTTGTGTTTTTCATCTGACTAATGTTTCTTGCCCTAGTTCCCTTGTTGTAGAGCAACCCCGATACAAAACGGGGTGCCTGACTGTGGGTCCTCACCCGCGCGCTTAAAAGGACTTATCAATGCTCTACTGCAGGCACACGTGAAAGGTTAATAAAAGGTTTATTTACAAGGGAAAGGGAAATGAGGAAATGTACAGCTCTGGGAGAAAAGTGGGAGACAAAGTTTTAAATGAGTCCTACCCGATCCGCCGATCAGGAATCCCAAAATGGCGCTCTGAGAGCTGGCCGCCAGCCAGGAGCGGTGAAGCCAGGAGGCGAGCGATCACGAGCCAGAGAGCGAGCAAGGCCCACGTGTTTGGTTTTTATATCCAACCTGGTTGCCCAACTCCACCCTCAGGTCCCAGCCACCCTCCCCTTGGTGGTGATGGGATTTGTCTTTCCCAATGTCCTGATGGCTTTGGTCTGGAGTGGGGGTGGAGTCCACAAAGCCTGTATGAGATTATCTCAGGACATCCTTTCCCCCTAACACCCTTATCTGCAGAAAGAGGGGTGGACTCAGTGGTGTACAGGCCCATCCAGCTCATGTTTCTTATTTAAAACTGAATTCATAATCCTTCCTCCCAATCAACAACTCTTTCTGATGCCATTTTTGTCTGTATTTTATCTGTTTTCCCAGGCAACCAACTGGTCAGCTTAGAGCCACTGACTCCTCTCTCTCTCCCTCTCAGATCCTGTTGCATGGGTATATTCAGTCCCTGAGACAGCCTTACTTGCAGCTGTGGCAACCAGATAATTTATCATTCAAATTGGACAGTTTTTAAGAGTGAATGGGACACTGTTAACCACTCTACTTTCCCAGGACAAAAGTTATAATCAGACTGTCCTGGGAAAGCTCAGACATATGGTCACCCCACTTGGAGCCATCCTTGCTTTCCATCCCAAACCATCTCCCTGAACCAGTGGTCCTCTTAGCAAGGGCTCCCCAGGCCTCCACCTGGGGAGTACTCATTTCTTAGCTCAGATGGTCCCCCTTCCAAGCAGCCTTCTCTGACCCCCAGGAGGTGAGCCGAAGTCTATGGCTTCTCCACGCCTCCTTCCCATCACCCTCCACTTTGTGTTACAGTCTGCCAGCTATGTCTTACATTCCTGTACACCCTAAGGTCTTTGAAAATGTAGATCATGCAAAAAATTATTTATTAAATGAGTAAGAGTTGCATTTAAAAGAGCTCCCAAGTTCCTATATAATAGCATTAAAACATCACAGTCCTGATCTCCAGGAAATTAAAACATGCTGCACACAGATCCAGAAGCTCTGCACACAGTTTGTGGAGAAGAGAGAAAAGTCACTTTTTTCCTTCCAAAGTGCATGTCACAAATGCTAAATTAGTGTGCTGCCCTTTTTAGGAACATGGAATGGTGAAGCCCTGGAACTGGAAGAGACCTAGATGATGATGATGCGATCTAGAAGCCATATCTCACTGGTAAACTGAAGAATTTCAGGAGCTAAAGTAATGCATCCAAGGCCACAAAAGTGAGTAGTGCAGAGCTGGGTTAAAACCAGGTGTTCCATTTAGCACTCATCAACCACCCGCCTTGGAAATAAACCCTGGGGCTGATAAGACTTCTTTATTGCTGTCATTAGTCCTATCTCAGATACCCGCTCTCCAAAAATCAATAGTCATTAATTCTCTACTCTGCTGGGTTTGCCTGATATGGCTCGTTAGCATACGGCCTCATTTGCCAAATTCCAGGTGAATTTTATACCGAGCCCTGCACTCCATTAGCGAGAGCTCACTAGTGTTCAGACAGCACCGCTGCCATATAGCCAACGTCTCCAACAGATGGCTGAGAAGTGTCAAGAAACTCTTCAGGAGATGGCATAGGCTATAATGAAGCTCCAAAGTTTATACTTTGGAGACAGACCCAGATTGGTGATAAGCGCCTTTGCTCCCAGGATTTGCCCTCACGGGATGCAGCTCACCTGGACTGTGAAGCACCAACAATGCCATTTCCCATCTGGGTGTCACATTTGTCTTCTCTGTCCATAGTGTCCTGCTGTGCATGCAATGTTTCTCCTGGCCATTAGTCATTTGTGTCTCTCAAGTGTGCACCTCAGTTTCGGGTGCCTCTGGAGGGCGATGGCAGAGCCACTGTGAATGTACAGTTGAAAGACACGCCAGGACCAGGGTCACCAACGGCCACCGCCAGAGCTGAGCTACTACAGGAGCCTCTCAGAAGAAGGAGAACTGAGGATGGGCATTGGGTCCCCACATGCACGGTCGCCTTCAGACACAGAGGAAGGAGGGGCGC